TGCTTCATTAATAACAAATGAAAAATTAATTATAAAAATTATAATTCATAAAAAATGTATAACCCTTACCTACATTTATTTTTTAATACTTTAATATACTTTTTTTATTGTTTCGCTCCTCTGTTGGTTCCCAAGACGTTGCCACATTTTGTAGTTGTCGTGTAAAAATAGTAAGTTTTGATGTTTTTTGACAATAATGATTATTCACGAGGGTCGTTATTTATAATAATATTATTATACATATCTATATAATGTCTGCCTACGATTGCCGTCTACCCTACCCCGGCTAGCGCATAATATATTATAATATGTAATAATATATTAGCAATGAAGCGACACGAGTTTTCTCGTGTTTCCGTTTGTTTTATCATCAAAACACATTAAAGTATGTACACTGTACATGTATATATAATCATATAATGGCGTGGCGTAGTCGCGTGCTGGAAGCGCCGGGCACGCGAGATTTTTTATAATATAGAACCTAGACGGCCGCCATAGGCTCTGTCTCGTGTACATGCAATTTGTTTTTGTTATCCCCCCACACCCCATCCTCACCCAAATATAAAAGGATAGGTTAACCCGCGTAGAATGTGATCGTAAGGAGGGGAAAGACGAGGAGAGATATGTACTATGATAATATTATGTGTTGAAGATTAAGTCAAAGTGTGCAATGACCGATATAACAGCAGCTGCTGTGGCTTCTCGTTTTTTACAATATGGTAATATGCGTAGATCGACCTTGGCTGACAGAGTTAGAGCCTTATGTATAGAATATTTGCCCCTGGTACCGTAGTATCAAAACTGTTTTTTATTATCCATCAGTGTGGTAAAGATATACATAGTTTATTTTATATAAGACTAAAACCAGCTAAAAGACATTTTGAACGATAGACGGTCTGACGGTTACTGGTAGTTTTTAATTGTTCTAATAATTATTGTTATATACTTCTCTTGGATATATCATGATGGTTTTCTATCTACTGTGTTGTGCTAAACCATTTTATCACTGTGGACATTTGTTCTTCATCCGTTGCCTATCGTTGAAGAATGCCAACGACGCGGTTATTATACACTTACCGGCGATAACCGAAGACCGCGCAACGTATATTGGAATACCTTAGCGAGATATATACATGTATGTATAATATACTCATGTAGATATGTATAATTATAATAATGGTGTTTTTTTTTGCACAACAAAGATCCACAGAGCGATAGCGCGATATCGATAGCCATAAAAAATGCGCTTGAATACATGTATATGTATATTAATAAATAATAATTATTACTTTTTTTTTTTTACTTCGATTACACCTGCTACCGGTATTCGGCGGCTTTCAAGCTATATGTGTTCGTTCGAGATAAGTACATAGTATAGCGTATCCATATAATATAGGTATAGGTACAATACAAGTTATATTAGATTGTTCATAAAATAAAATAATATAGTTTTTTTTTTTACCAAAACCACGATGCTCCTCTAACGCTGGGTTTCACCTGGATTCGCCAATCGCCAATTATTGTTATAATGTTCTAAACGTTTTTTTACTTATAACGAATTCAGTGGACATTTAGGTTGATGAATACCAGAGTATAAAAGTCAAATCGTTTTGGATATAATTTTAAGAAATCTATGACAAACTTTTTGAAAACCATGCCAGAGAATCATAGTTAAAAAAATTGCCAACAGATAAAAGTATCAATAAGTCCCGTTGTTATAACATATATAGGTTAAGTTAAACTGTTAAACTGAGTTTTAATCGAACAAATTCGACCCTTTTCACAAACAAATGAGTTACTTAACTAACATTTCATAAACAAAATTACTAAATCATTATACGGGATTGTATGCAATACAGAGTGACGTAAACCAAAAGTACTTTACCAATATATTTTTTATTATGACTTAATAAAAATGAAATAGCATACGAATTTGTCTGCGTTTTAAAGTAAACGGCCACAAAACATATTTGTTAACACGTTTACTGCCACCGTTTAAAACTACTGCGTTTAAAGTACCATTCTAAGAGGTATCTAACGTAAGCTGAACGTGTTAAAAAAAAATGTCTGCAAAATCGTGGCTTAACACGTTTCATAAATAAACGATTCGTTTAGCATCAAAATAAAAATACTATATATTATTATCTCATCACATTATTCATCTCGCACACGTCTCTTGAGAAAATCTAAATTTGCACCTTTTTTTCACAGCTTAATTGTGTTTTTTTTTTTAATGAAACATATACACAAGTAATTTATAATATAAAAAAAAACCCAAAACTATTCCTCTCCACTCCTCTGGTCCTGCTCATCGAAGAGAAAATACTTATCCGGTTCGTTTGATCGTCAAAAATCGGCGGTCGCTCGGTGCCGCGTGACTCACGGCCACGATGACGACGGCGACGCGGGGAAAGCTTTGCGCGTGCGTTAACGTGTCGCACACGCATACAGTATATACTTACATGTATATGCACAATGCTGCCGGGACGCCGCCGGTACACGAGGGGGATACCTCCAAAGGTCCCAAGTTCTTCGCCAGTGTATCCGCCGCACGCACACAAAGCGCACACCGCCGGTGCCGTCATCGCAAATTACGGTCCAAGTCCGCGCCAAAATTATTTTCTTTATATAAATCCGAAAACCAAAAAAAAAAAAAAGTAAATTCTAATAATTAATAACAACGCTTAATCGAGAGCCAAACCGAATTTACGTATAAAAAAAAAACCCCCGTTTCCACATTTTCGTCCGCGTTTCGGTACGATTTTCGGTCGTCTTGTGTGATTTGTAAAAAAAAAAAAAAAAGATTTCCTACCTCAGCCGCCGCCGTGTTGTCTTACGCGCAATGGCGTAGCCCGAGAACTCGGAAAAATTGACAAAATATGAAGGTAAGACTTAGTAATAATCCGGCACGACGTTTGCAGTTAAAAAAAAATAATATATTTTTTTCTTGTATAATATATGTACCTACGCCGCCGCTGGATGTGACCGGCACCCAAGGCGTGCAATCTACATTGTTCGACAAGATTTTAACCGTAGAGTATATAGTATATACTTATATACGTATTTTATTCATATATATATATATATATATATATATATAAGCGCACAGGTGGACATTCCTAGTGTACGGTAATTTTTTTTCTCAAACGTATAGCGATACACTTAGAAAAAATAAAAAATAAAAATGACAAAAAATAAACATGACAAATAATATTACCACCGTATATAGGCCCGAGTAAAAAACATGTGCTGCGACTAAGAGATTATGTTTTTTTTTACAATTTTCGTGGTTTTTTTTATAATATAAAACATTTTTCGGCGTCTGCAGTTTTGTGTAACTAGGTAGCTGATAGAATATTGTTTTGATTCGGTATATAAAATTCAGTGCACAGCCTTTCTTCTAATAAAATATATATATTTATGAGTGTTAAAACATATTGATATTATATTGTTTCCATAACCGCTAGAAAAGTGCTTAAAAATGATTAATGCCCAAAAATTAATTTATAATATATAATTTTTATTCCCAACGATTTATTATATTATTTTAACGGTTGAACACTCGTTAAAAAAATATATACATAATAAGTATTAATCTGATATTAAGTATCTCAAGAGTGAGCATATGTAAAAAATATATTCTATAACCAATTGGCATGAAGCTAATATTATTGACTGATTAGATTAAATTTTGACATACCTCTACAATTGACATTTTATTCCACACATAAATGATGTACTTAAAAAAAAATGTATTCAAATAAGATGATATTCAATTAAATAATTTTCGCAATATATATATTTATATATATTTTATATATTAAATGTTGGCAAAATATGTCATTAATATTTTCTAACCGTCAGGAATTTAATATTGCGTTCCGTTTGCTCGTTGAACTTGTAAACATTTCTAATGTAGTTACGGTTTGGAATTTTTTTTAAATATAACATTATTTCTGTTCATGTGCCGTTCGTGTGGTGTAGTAAAAAAAAATATTATTATTTTGACAACGCACATAATATTGGCACAATGGCCGCCGCGATGCCGTCGATTTGTAAGGGTATAATGTGTTGTTTTGGGGAGAGCAAAAAAAAGGAACGCGGTATTTTTTTTTCACATTTTGAACGGTTAGTAAAAAAAAAATACTGTTTTGACGTTTCTTTATAGCAGCGGTGACCGCCGTCCGACTGGTTGCAAATAACCGGAACGATACAAATGACTTGCGTTTTTTTTTTAGTATTATTATTATTATTTTGCACCGATACAAGAGACACATGTGGCATAGTCTGGGCTTATAGTCCTCGCCGTACACATTGATCGTGTACGGTATATAGTGTGTTGTGGCAATTGGGTCGGCCCTGTCAAAATATTATAAATCCCCAAAAACGTTTTGGAAAACATTTAAAAAAAAAAAAAATCCCTACTATACTATCATACAACGGAAAAGTTTGTATGCAATCGAAATTGGCGCGAATACGTCAATAATTATTGGGAAATTGTGGCTACTGCAGATAACGCGTGTAATAAGACGACCAAGATTTATGTGCAAAACCGTATTTTGGGGTTTTCTCAAGGTGTGTGCGCGAGTGTGTTTGTTGGATATTGACACGTTTTGGGTTTAATACCCGAGAATGCAAGGGGACGTCGTCTTGTGCTACCGCTTTCTTGGGGATTTCAACTTGGGGATGTGTTTGTATGTATATTGAAGCCGTCCATCACTGCGGCGAGGGCCTGCTGTTTGTCTAATGAATTTTTACGCCGCCCCGCGTTAACCGTGCACCACTTTCTGGCTACACACAACATCCCTCGGGCACCCTTATCCGCCGCCTTAAACGATAAACCGCCACCGGCGCACGTCTTGTTCTTGTGAACTTACCTATTTATTCGACTCTCCGTTCCCATAAACGGCAAAGCCGCCATTTGATAAAAAAAAAAAAAAATATATTAAAAATTGTTTTATCTAATTTTTGTTTTCTTATTGTGTTTTTTTTTTTTTTAGGTAAGAATGTCTACGTGTAGTAAAATACGAAAAAAAGTGTGATGCCATATGCTTGACTGGGCACAGTATCGGTGAGTACACACACCCAAAAAAATATTGTTGAAAAATAAAAGTATGCACATAGCTAAAAACTTTTGTTCATGTACAGTAGTTTACCGACTCTAAATTATACTAAGTCGTCGATGTAGGTTAGGCGTATATTATATAATCAGGTTAAACGTTACAGAAGGAACCTAACTTGGGCATAAAAATGTAGGATCTTCAAATTAAAAATAAACACCTATAAAGAAATTGTAATTTTTTAAATTAATAAAATTCCTTCATTTAGAATTTGTATTCTAGAATTTATAAATAGTTATTAAAATTACAAATTAATTATGTATACTAACATTATGGTAACTGGCAAAGATCTAGCCACATATACCTACAAACACGGTATTAAACCGCTGAAAAGACAAGTTAAATATTGTTCAGCGTGTGTTAGGTTATATTTTACACCAAGTATAAGCAACGGGAAGAACGCATTTGGCCAGGTCCTTTGGCGTCAAATATAGATTATGTACTTGCATAACATCAACAATATTGATATAAAAAACACAATTAAAATATATTTAACAATTTTTTTTAACGTTTATTTTACTGGTTTATAATTACAAATTTTGAAATTTACATTTTATACAGACTCACTAACTAAAACTTAGGGCGCGCGTCATAACTCAAAGCGTTTAGGCGTTCATTTTTCATTTTCGTCCACCGCCGACTTGTCGCTTTACGACGATTGTTTTTTATGTAAATTCCCCACGACATTATACAAGAAAACTTCTGGAAACTTTATGCGGCGTCCACCCAAATTTTATAACCATGCTTATATTGACAATAATAATAATTATGCACTAGAAAATAATTTTTTTTTTCTTAAACGGCAAGTGAATTACATTAACTTCTGGAAAGTATTTTTTCTTTATTTCAAAACCCGTCTCGACGATGCCCGCTAAACTTTTTCCCCTTTTACATTCATCACACGTACCTATATAGATACCTTTGTGTACTGACCAAGTATAGTCGCATTTTTTACCTCGACCCCACGCCCTTTGCCACGGTTGCCGAGAGAACAATGCACCGTTTGTTTAGTGTTTACATATTTTATAAAAATCGTACCCACGACGGCAACGCCGTGTATTTTACTACCTTTAAGTTGTAGCAGTTAAAGTCGTGTAGACCTGTATAGTATATTATCCCAACATAAACAGGCGCTATACGGTTATACGCAAGAGTTGTAAAATTGCATACAATACAATGCAAAACAATATATAGTATTATTTACATTAATTGTATATTTTTGTCTAAATTAATTTGTCACGCGACCCAAAAAGCGTGTGCGCTGTTCGCTAATAAAATTTAAAAACGCGTTCGCTTTAATAACAACTATATAATGATTATTATAATATATGTGGTTACGGTTATTAAAACGGTTTGGTGTTCGTTATTAATATACACAACTACAACGTAGTATCATGTATATTAATCTCTCGTTACACGACGATATAATTTATTTATATTGTTATTATGAATATTATTCACAATTACACACGGTTTTATATCTAATATAATTCGTATTTTTATCTCTAGCGTTTATCTTTCAATTAAGGGGTAAATCTCGCGGTAGGTAATTAATTTATGTATCAATATATTATAATATAGTGCTATGTTACTTACCCACTCTAATGTCATAACACAACACGGAACCGGCAAATATCGAATAATAATTATCTAAACTTCTCTCGCGGTTAGCGTTGACACCTTTGATTAATCGTTCTTGGGAATTTTCCAAATAATAATAATAATAATAATAATATTCTGCACAAACGCGAAACGGTCGGTTTCAAGTCAAGTTTTTTATACCAGTATTTTTCACTAAACAATGGTACAGTATTGTTGTTTCCTGGACATTTTTTTAGTATTATTAATAGTCCGAAGGTTTCTCAAGGATAACGCCGAAGGCAGTAAGCCCAAACCAAACACGATAGTATGCTTCGATTAAATTTTAGATAAATATTACCTGCGATAGACCTGTTGCCGTTCGTGCGGACTGGGTTCCAAATAGTTTGAGTGCAAAATTGCATTTCTTTGCTAAAAAAAACACTTGTATGTTTTAATGAATAGTGTTGTTCAAAATACAAATAAGCGCTAGCAATAACGGCGGTGGTTAAGGATAATATAACACATAATATTATTATTATTAATATTATACATACTCAGAGCAGAGAGAGAGTGAGAGAGATAGAGAGAGAGAGAGGCTTACACACACCTCACTCGCTTGCTGCCGGCGAGGTTGCCATCGCCGGTCGACCCTCCGCCACTACCACCATTACTGGAACCGCCACACTGCACCTCCCCCCAAACGCCGGGACCCTTTTTGCCGACAAGACAGAAGATCGATGGCGTCCCGGTCGGCGGCAACCGCGCGCACTCTCTCTCCTTTGGCTACCCCCCAAACGTCATAGTGTCGCCGCCGAATCCGGCCCGAAGGACCACAACCGTACGAAAATGCATTTCGCACTCGTATAGTGATATTAATAATCTATTCCAAACGAAATGAGTGTTAAATGTCGGTCTACAGGGATCGCCAGCGTTTGAGTAGAATCATCAACGCAACTAGGGGAGGCCGAGGAAGCTGTTTTTAGACCTTTTAAGAACTCTCAAAAGCTCCCTGAGAATTTCAATAAAAATTATAAACCTTACTCGGGGGGGGGGGCGTGCGACTAATTGATTACTAATGGTTTTGAACTTTCTTAGCCCCTTTCTAGCAGTTGCACCAATGAGTCGAATGCGGTTGTAAGAGCGGTTATAGTTTTCATGAATGAAAAAGCGGCGGCGGCCAAGGCAATTGCGGCGGTGGTGGTGGCGTGTAACGGTCTTGCACCGCGCGGGGCTTTTATAGAAATTTATGGGTTCAAACGTGTTACCTCCCCCTCCCCCTACAGTCTGGGTTTTTTTTTATTTTATTCGAGACGTGCGACTAAACGGTAAACGGTGGTACACCACGGTAAGGACGTAAAGCGAAACCCTGCTCTCTTGTGCCGGCGAATTTATCACACACATACACAGCATATAAGTATAGGGATCTCGTTTATTGTTGTTGTTGTTGTGTTGTATATAAATAGGAGTCAAGGTCGTGCGGAATGGCCTCGTAAAATAGGTTTTACGAGCCACTCTATCGTCTCGAGGTGGCTGTACCTCGCTCTTCTCTTCCTTATAGTTGCTCACAAGATTTATATGGGCGAGACGGCGGCGGTCGTTACACGTTTACGCTTACAACCTCCGTCTCAGCACCGCCGTGCACTTTGTTGTTGTTTTCAATCAAACGGGCAACGGCCGCTATACAACACCCGTTTACCGATAAACGTATCAAGCAGTTAAGGTGTAAAATGTATTTGTTGTAAATTTCACCGCATAAAATTAAAGAAAACAAACCGCAAAATTTCACCGTTCAAAATTGTTCGTGGCGATTACGACCAAACGCGTACAAATCACGCCACGAAACACTTATCTTTATTACCTACTGCTATAAATTGGAAAGGTCGTTTGAAAGTTTTAAGATGGAATTAAATAAAAAAAAAAAAACGGGTCGGTTTCAATTTTATGTATTCTCACCCCGTACCCAAACGTTATCGGTTGTTTTGTCTATGTCTGTCAACAATTTTTCAACTTCTGAAAGTATGACAACAGAAATGGCTCTTATTTATTAAAAAATTACAACATAGTTAAAAAAATGTGCATAACATTGTTTTGCTTGTCAAATGCTTGTTGTATGCCTATTAGTTTATACCAACGATTAAGATGATTTTGTTCAAAATGTTAGAGATTGGACAAAAACTTCTACTTAAACTGTCAAAATTATTTTTTTCTACTTTAAATAACTATAACATATAAATGTTAAACTCGACGTTTTTGGCATTACACTAAACTTTAGTATCTTCAATAAGACGTTAAGTTAGGCAAAGTTTCAATCAAATTATATCTAATTAAATGACTAACCAAATTATTTTTTTTACTGTAAAAATGTAATTTTATAGACGTATCGCAATTTTGTATTAATGCTCGCCTCTACTTACCGTATATTATTTTTTTGTTAATCACTCATACACTTAACCTAACCTTGTGTTATTTTATGTACTATTGTTGCTTATTGTATGGGTCCAAATACATGCTTTAAACGCATTACGCCGTTAGATATCTTTTTTCCTAATTTGTTTAACAGCTATTTCCTTTCTACGCAGTTTACAAGCGCTTTAATTTTTTCAAATGCCACAATACATTGTCAATTCCGAATATTATTCTCTTTGCTATACACGATTTGTTTGGTCTATAGTGCGCGCGTGTAAACCGTGCATGTGTTTAATTATAATAAAGAATTCACTGATCGTGAGTAAATATTTTAATATATATATATATATATTTTCAACACCGTGTCACGTGACATATCATATCGTCGCCGTGTTGGATTTAATTTTAGCGTGCACGTAAAGTCTTTTAATAAAATACAATATTCACGGGTCGAGTGAGAATCGAGAGGAGATATCGTAGAAAGAGAAACAGCGCGGTGGTGTTAAGGGGTATAGGGTGAATAAAACCTGGACCAATAGCATAGCCGACCTCGTAAATAAGTAAGTCTTAACATAGTTTTTGGCGTGCAAACTCCTTGGCCGCTGCTTCCGTTCTTAACCGAAACAAGAACAAAGCGATACTATAGTAAAAAAAAACAAAAATAGAAATTTAAACCGCTTTTCAAAGAAATACCCATATTAGCATTGCGTACAGTGTGCTGATTCGGGAGAGAGAGAGAGAGAGAGACGTTGGATTTTTCTCCAAGCCGCAGTCAAAGGGAACGGCGTGTTGCACCCGGATCGATATGGGCTTGATGTTTTCTATATATTATATGTTTGTGTGGATATATATATATATATATATATATATATATATATATATATGTGTATACATCACAGCACGTTTTATGGGGGTTGTACAAGTGAGAGAGAGTGGTGTGACGTGGCGGCGGTTGTGCCGGGTA